CTGGTCACACAGGGAATATAAACATCAGTCACAGCTGGAAGAGAGTCTCCATCACATCACAGGTGTGCAATACGATAAATATAAAATCATAATATTTCCTATATTATCAGTAATAATTTCATCAACATTCTTATTATTATTATTATTATTATTATTATTATGTCAAACAAACTGCATCACATCACATTGTGCAACTCTCATAGACAACATTTTTACAAATGACATTGAAAATAAGACTGATTGACGACATAAGTGACCATCTTCCAATTTTTACAATCTATGATGGGAATTACAAGATCAGTAAAAAATAGTACAGGCGAGTAAGAACAGAAGAAGGAATGAATGTAATTTATCATTTCAAACTGGTCAATTTCCAGACAAAATGAAAGTAGCAAAAGTTATACCTCTACACAAATCTGGCAACAAACGCCATTTCACAAACTACAGGCCTGTCTCTTTACTACCTCAATTCTCAAAAATTCTTGAAAAACTGTTTAACAACCGACTGGAAAAATGTATAGATAAACATAAACGATTCACTGAGAGTCAGTACGGATTCAGATCAAGCAGATCAACATCATCGGCACTATTAGATTCAATAGAATACATCACAAATTCCATAGACAAAAAGCCATATGTGGCTGGGTTATTCATAGACTTGACAAAGGCATTTGACACAATAGATCATGATATATTAATAAGAAAACTGGAACGTTATGGTGTCAGAGGGGTAGTTTTAGATTGGGTCCGGAGTTATTTAAGTGACAGGAAGCAGTTTGTGAAATTAAATGGTGGTTGCTCCTTATGTATAGACATTGCATGTGGTGTACCCCAAGGGTCAGTTTTGGGTCTAAATTTTTCAACTTGTACATTAACGACATCTGTAAAGTGTCCAAAGTATTACAAATGGTTCTCTTTGCTGACAATACAAACATTTTTTGCTCTGGTGATGATCTGCAGAATTTATTGGAGGATATGACTAATGAAATAAGTAAAGTGAAGTTCTGGCTTGATAAAAACAAATTATCATTAAATTTGAATAAATCTAAACTTATGTTATTTGGAAATAGTGGTTTAAATACAAATGCAAAGATTCAAATAAATGGTGTTGATATTGGAAGAGTCAGTGAAAATAAATTTCTGGGCATAATAACAGATGAAAAACTTAACTGGAGAGCTCACGTAAGATATATTCATTCCAAAGTATCACGAAGCATTGCAATACTAAACAAGGAAAGCAGGTATTAGACAGAACATCACTTCATATTCTCTACTGTTCACTGGTTTCACCATACTTAAAGGGTGCATTTTTTAGGACCCTCCAAGGGTTAAATAAGTGTGTACTTCTTCCCACTCCCTTTCAACATGTAAATGAATCAAAACGGTAGCAATACTGAAATGTATTGACTTTTGCATAGTATTTTTTTTCTCTCTCTTATTTTCTAAATGTACCTGCATATTGTTTACATGTTTGAAATAAATGAATTAACAAAATTAACAAATTAACAAACTGCATAACCCAGACTGATTCAAAGTATGGAAGTAAAATGCAGTCAAGAAAAGATTTTAAACATAAGGTTATTTTCTCCCCAGGAATGAATATTTATTAGTTAATATGTTTGGACTTTAAAAAAAATTACATAGAAATTATAATTGGATTACATTTTACATTTCTGTTATATATATAGTGTAATTTATTTTTATTATTATTAAAGTTGTACCGTATTATCAAAATGTTTGAATTATAATAGAAAGAAACATATTTATTTCGGTATTTCAACCCATTTATGTGGGATTGATATCATAGAACGGAAGTGGGGGATAAAAAAAATCCTGTTGTTTCTGGTAATTCCACTATTACCAAAGTGATTTTGAATTTATTAAAAATATAGAATATGGTCTATAGTAGACATGAAGATTCAGCATTAAAAACATCGGAACTTCTGGTGGGAAATTGAAATATAATCTTTTTCATGTGTTTGTTAATACATATAAAAAAAAACACTAAATAAAAAAAAAAGTGTTTTATAGCCTAAGGATATTTAGATATGTCAGCCCAATACTGCCAAAAAAGTTGAACTAAACATGGTAAATATGTTATCTAAATTATTATTTAGTGTAATATCTTTTATCTCCTCATCATTTGACTCTTGCCAGTATTATGGATGAAATTCTAGACTTCCCAAAAGTTTAATATTCAGCAGAAAAACCTCCCAAAATGTGTTCATTCCTTTAGTATATTACCATGAAAAAAAACCCCAAAACATACATGGCTTAAAAATTCAATATTGTAACTTATATTTTATCAATCCATCCACTCTCTTGCGAGAGTAGGAGCAAGAGGCAAGGTACACCCTTGACAGGTCACCAGTCTGCCGCAGCACTAACACATAGAGACAGTCTATGTGTTAATATATTTTATTTTGCCTATTAAAGAATGTTTAATATGTTGACTATGAAGGGAATAGGGAAATACTGTAAACGATTGTTAAAGAACATGGACATTACGCATTTATTTCTATGAAGCTTCTTGGTAATCACAGAAAACAAAAATCCTTCACATTTTAAAGGTTTTTTTCTTTTGGTGTTGGAGTCCACATATCTATTACATGAAAAACAGGAGCAGCACGTATTGATCCTAAATGGGCCGGACTGGTGAAATTGCTCTTTCTGTTTGTTTAAATACACATGTGCTAACATAATAAAAAAGGTATGTAGTTTCAACAGTGTTTCTTAGTTTTTTGTCCATGCTAAAGAAATGCTCTTGTAGTAAATGAGAGAATTGTGTCAGTATTTATGTGGGCATAAAATATAAGAAATAAATGTGTAAAATTACAAAAAAAGTTCTGGTTGGTCATTGTCCAGACTGCCCTGTGATTATAAAACAGAAAGTTTCTGTTAATTTACAGAAAATGTCCTGTTTTCTGGTTTCTTTTTTTAACCTTTAGTGAAAAGGGAACTTTACTGTTATTTAATTGTTTATCTGTTACTTAGATCTTTATCAGGGAAAAAAGCTGTAATACTTAAACTCTAAATATATTTTAAAGTCCGGACTGGAGTCTTTGCTGTGCCCATTCTGTACACTGGGCCTTGTGTTTGACACCCTTGTGGTAATAGTTTTGGCAGAATTTCATTGGCACTCATTAAAACAAAACAATAAACAACAGAGATATTATGGCACTGTGGCTGAGATGTTGTTAGCAGATACTAAGTAAAAGGAATTACCAAGATGGCTGCCAACTGCTGAGATTTGCTTCTCTGAGCTCTCCTGTAGTAAGTTAAATGCAGCATTTTTACTTACACACAACAGGCAAAAGTAGCTTTCATGTTTTCAAACCAAAGTCAAATTTGACACGACCCTGATCAAACATGAAACCTTTTCTCTGGGACCAAAACAAAGGAAGCTGTTTCATTTAAAACTGGCACCAATTTCAGCTTTATTACTGAGCATGGAGAGATATCACATTCACAGTCTGATGATATGATTAAAATCATTGACCAGGGCAGGCATCATTAAATCATCCCAGCTCCCTGAGGAAAAAAATCCATCCTAAAGGTGTAAATAATGATCATAAGGTCCTGCAAAGAACAAAAAGAAAAAAAGGTTCTTAGTGATGGAAGTTCTTTGTTTAATAGAAATATAATTTTATAGCTGTTTAAGAGACTTCAACTTATCTTCTTATATAAGACAATATTGTTGAGCACTTCTTTGATGCCTTGCACTAGAAAACACTCGGTTTCCATGTCTGCCGGTTTAAGAGGCATCCACAGCTCTCAATTCAGGATGAATTGACTATGGTTTCATATTTACAGCAGGTCACAATGGGCTGACAGCAGAGACATCTCCATAACAACTGTGACTGCTGCTGTGGCTGCACAGACCCTGAGTCTTGTTAGCAAACAGATAACAGAAAGCAAAACAATAAGCCACATTTTTCTTGTCCACTAAGCACCAACTTTGAGACACACTAGGCGAAAAATAACAAATCATTTTAAGTTTTTCAATTATGGTTCAAATTTTAAAAACTAATATTCTTTCAAATTTCATTTGTGACTTTAATATAGTGAATGCCTAG